AATAAATTATAACTCGGAAATAAGAAATTTTATAGCTTTATTAGAAATAAGACTTATAATTTTATAAAGTACTTTAGAAGTAAAAAGTATACTAGAACCTAAAAATAATAGAAATAAAAATATTAAGCTTTTAAGACACCTTAGTATAATAAAAAGAAATATAATAAAATATATAATAATTATTAAAGAAATATATTAAATTAATAAAAGTAAGAAAGGATTTCCTTAAAACTAATAATAAGATCTATTAATAGCTCTTATAAATAAAATAAAAAGCTTATTTATAAAACGAGTAAAAAGCTTAATAAAAATAAAAGAATTCTTTATAAAAAGAATAAATAACTTAACTAAAATAGAAAATTAAATAATAAAGCTAAAGAGAAAATAAATAAAAAGCTAATTATTAAAACTAAAAATAGTTTTAATTTAAATATATTTATATAAAGAAAATAATTAAAATAGTAATTCAGGTAAAATTAGTAATAATATAATTATTATAATAAATATATTATTATAAATAATAAATAAATCGAATTAGATTAATTATTTAAAATCTCTTTTAGAATTTCTTTAGCCTAATTAGTTAGAGAATTATAAAAAGGAATTTAATTATATTATAATTATATTATAATTATAATAATAGTTTAATTAAAAATATATTTAGAATAAGAGCTCTAAATAATATAATAATAAGAAAAATTCATATTAATAATTTTCTAAAAGCTTTAAAAATATAAAATAATCTAAAGAAATATCTAGCTAAGAAATATTTCAAATTAGATACTAAACTAGAGATTAATAACTTTAAAGCTTAAAATTATTAGAGAATTATTTCTAGTAATAAAACAAGTATATTTCTAGTTCTATTAAAATAAATATTTATATATAAAATAAATTCTAATAAATATATTATTTAATATTATTTAAAGCCAATAATTTATAAAAATCTTTAAAAAAAGATATTATTTTTATTTATATATATTACTATATTTATAATAAGATCTTTTTATATAGCTAATATAAAAATTGCTTATTTTAATCTAGAAATGAAATAATTCAATATTATAAATATATCTATTAATATAAAAAGAGATTTTAATAAACTTATAATAATATATAAGCTATTAGATAATTTCAAGATATTAGGCTATATAAGAAAGATAAATCGAGCTTTATATAAGCTATAAAACTTTCTTATTCTATAATATAAGTACTAAATAAATATTCTTAAAAGAATTAGACTTTCTAAATTTAATAAAAAGTTTTATACTTATATAAATATAGATTATAAAGTTTTTATTATTTTCTATATAAATAACTTCTAAGTACTTTATTATAAAAATAATAAAATATATACTAAATTAATTATTACTAAGATTAAAAGAATTTATAAGCTATATAATATATAAAATATAGAATAATTTCTAGGTATTTATATAATTAGAGATTAGAAAATTAAAAAGCTTTAGCTAGTTTATAATACTTATATTAATAAAATTACTAAGAAGTTTAAAATAATAAATAATAAATATTTTAATATTTTATTACTTGAAATTATTTTTCGGAAATATTATAATTAAGTTTATTTATATTAAATTAAATTATTACTTTATATTATAATTATAATTAGACCGGATATAGCTTTTATTACTTTAGTATTCTTTTAGTTCTTAATAAATCTAGCTTTAAAGTATTTTATAACTATAAATTAAACTTTTTAATACTTATTTTAAATCCGGTTTTTAGTAATTTAGTATAATAAGAAATATAAAAAAATATAACTATAAATTATATTAAATACTTTATATATAAATAATTCAAATATATAATTTTCTTATTTAGAGGTTTAATATTATAAAAAGTTATTTAATAAAATATTATAACTACTTTTTTAATTAAATTAGAAATATATAAAGTTATTTATATATTAAAAAAGATTATAACTTACTAGAGGCTATTTAGAGATTTATATTTAAATTTTAGAGAGCTCTAAATTATATTTTATAATAATAAATAAACTATTTAACTAATTATTAGAAAAAATAAAAGAATTATTATATTAATATCTAGAATATATAATTATATTAGAAGTATAATAAAGGCATTTTTTAAGTTACATATTTTTAAATAAATAATATATCTATAAATAAACTTATAAAAAATCTATTTTAATTTAAATTCGAGAACTTTAGAGCTTTATTAAATCTTTAGAATATTAAAGCAAAGATTAAAATAATTAAATAATATAAAAAGAGGCTTTTATTTATATCTTTTATTTATAAAATCTATTAAAATAATAGAGCTTAAAAGCTAATAATAAAAGATCTAAAAGCGTTCTATTATAATATTAATAAGCTTATATAAAAAGCCCTTTATTTAATTAAACTATTTCTTATTCTTTTTAATAGCCTTCTAAGCCTTAATAAAAAAGCTCTTATTACTATTCTTTTTATTAAATTCGGTAATCTTAAATATAATATAAATAAAATGCCTAAAAATAAATAAATACTTTAAATAGTTAGAATTTATAAAAAAATTAAGAAAAAGAAGCTTATAGTATTTTTTAGTAATTAGAAGTTCAATAAAAAAGAGCTATATAATAGAGATATAAAAGCTTGAAATAATAGTATAGAAATAACTGAAAGTATACTTTTAGTAATAAATACCTCTATTAATAATATTATAATAAGAATTATTACTCTTGCTTTTTAGAATAGAAAATATTATATTAAGTTAAAATGAGCTTTAAAATAATATAGAGAACTTATAATAATTTATATAAGGGATTTTTTTAAAACTAGTATAAGTAGAATAAGAAATATAAGACTTTTTTATAGCCTTTTTAGCCTTTAGTAAAGAAGTACTAGAAGTATTAGAAGGCTTAGTAAAAATCTAAATCTTGATATTTTATTAAATATAAGCTTTATATTAATAATTAAGAGCTATACTTATAGTAGATTTGCGAGCTACTTAATACTATTTAAAGCTAGTAAAAAGTAAAGCAAGAATATATTTTGGATTAAAAATACCTTGAATTTACGAGCTAGAATTAACTTAATAATAATATAAAAAGAGATAGAACTAATATAAGCTATATTTATAATAATCGGAAGTTTAGAAAGAGAGTTCTAAAAAAATATTAAAAAAGAGTAGTTTAATTAGAGGCTCTGGTATTAGTAGAAAGGTAAGCTTTATATAGAGCTTTTCTGAAATTTAATATTCTGGGAATATAATATATATTAAGCCTATTTAGTTCGGAATATTAATACGGTTTTATAAAACCTATATATTAGACGATTTTTATTATTTTAAAGCTTTCTAATTAAGTAAAACAAATAGAATATAATATTATATCTTTCTAGAAAATATATTATAATAAGAATTACTAATTTGGGGCTAGTATAATTACTTTACTTAATTAGAATTTATATATTTATTTTCTAAGCTTTATATTTTATTTAAACTCTTTTTTAGCTAGTTTAATTAGCTTTTTTACTATTTAATACAATTTCCTACTTTGTAATCTTTATATATATTATCTTTTTTATTATATTATATTATATAATTTGTTTTTATTTTATATAATTTCTTTCTTACTTTTTTTATTTTTTATTATTTTTATTATTTTTATTATTTTTATTATATAAGTAATTAAAATGAAATATAAAGTAATACTTATAAATATAACTAATTTCAAGAACTAGCTTCCGGAAAATACTGATTTATATTTGTTTTTAAAGCTTTATATATTTCTTTATATATTACTTAATATTTTACTAAATATATAAAATTAGGCTATTATATTTAGGTAATTTTTACTTATATTCTAGATATATATATGTATTATAAGTTGATTTTAATTAAGTTATTAAGCTAAGATTTAAGCCAAGCTCGGTATTTTAGTAGTTTTAGTTATACTTATTTATTTACTACTATACCTCACTTTCTCTTTCTCTTCTTAGCTTTATATTCTATAAGATTCTGGAATTTTAGATCTTTAAGCCTTATTCTATTACTTTGTTTTTACTATTACTTAGTAATTGAAATAAATAAACTCCTATTCTAAACCGTGTTTCTAGCAGGTTTGCCTCTACAAAACCTTGAATTCTAGCTATTTTATTTGCCCATACCCCTTATTGCGGCATCTGTGGATCTAGATAGAGTATGGGTTTATTTATTCTTACTACGAGTATACCTGTAATATCCCATTATCTATTGGCCTTGAGGAAGGGGCTAATTTGCACCAAGATTAGGAGCATTGCTAGTGCCAAAAGTAATGAAAGGAACAAGCCTTTAAAGATATTAGTTATTATATAAGAGGCTTATTACTAGTTTGGGTTCGCAGGACCAGGACCAGGAGACTGCGGGGTCTAGCTCGCTTACCCCTGTCATTTTCGCCCTACCCCTGCCATTTGGGAACGATTGGAACGTTCCTGGTGGTTCCAATACCGGTATTACCTAATACTTATCGATACCGGCTGGAACATGGTAAGGAGTTGCATGGTAATAAAAGAGTTAATTAAAGCTAGCTGGAAAAGAGCTCAGGTAAAGTGTGAGAACTCCAGAATATGGGTGCGTAGAGCCTGACTAAGCAGAGCGATCGCGCTATGTCTAAAAGAGAAATCGTATCGCAATATTACTGCAACAAATACTGAGCCGTGCTTTTTCAGTGGGTGAAAACGCATCCAAGGACCAGATATCGGAATGAAAGTTGCCCATCCCAATCGTTATGAAAGGCTAAGAAGCATCAAGTCCCCCATCTCGGCTCTCACTGCAACCGCTCGGCCACGGTTCTCGAAAGAGCCCTCAGTAATAGCGATATCTTTCTACTGGATTGACCCGTCGTGCCAAAGTTCATACCTCCTTCCACGGACAAGCAAACCATGTTTTGTGATGCAACAAAATCATGGTTACTTCCGCAGCAGCAGCACGAACCAGTGATCGTTTCATATGCCAATACTATCTCCACATCTGCCTCTTTCCGTTGAGAAGAATATACATCTCATGGCTCAAAGGTTTCAAGAGCGTATGCACACAGCCTGAAGAGGCAATTTATACCGTTATACTTCGGACTCATCTGATGAGTCTTCATACCAAAAGGTGGATCCAGTATCGGAATCAATATGGTAGTACGCCTTCAATCCCTCATCATACTCCCAATACTCATCTGCGCCCTCTGCAGGTACCAGGTCGGCCTTCTGAGAAAGGTCTCCTTTCCAAGCTCTTATTCTCGGAGCTTTGCCACGCCTTTTGAGGCGCTTCTTAGAACGAGAATTTGTGCTTCTACGCGAGCGTTCCGAGTGCTGTTTGACCTCTGGAACTGTGCTCTGCCCTTCCACCATATTTTCCCCAGATATAGAATCTGGCTTCACGAGTGGGGTGGCAGTTTCACTTGGTGCAGGGCGTTCGGTTACCGCTGAATAGTCAAGTGAGCTCCGCGACTTTGCAAGTGATCTAGTCGACTGCTCAGTTCCTAAATGACCGAAGCTCTCTATTGTCGGATCGAGAGCATCTGCATGAGTCTGGCCGGTGGCCTCTCTTTCCAACTCTGTCGGAGCCTTGACCAGCGATGAGAGGTGCTCGTCGCTGTTTAACACATTTATAGCTTCCTGCGATGCAGGCACCCCAGGTTCCCCGGGGTCATTTCTGTATTGATACTGAAGATATAGCTCGAGATTATCGGTCCTCATCGATCGAGGATCCGTTGTTTCTTGGCTTCCATGATCCGCAGACTGCGAGCATCCAATTCTCGGTGGCTCACTAGGCTTTACCTCAATAGACTGCAGGCTGTTCCGCCCAATTTCAGGTCTTCGAAAAGCTACGCCAGAGTCATTGCTCTCGCTTGGAGCCCAATCTGGCTTCTGTTTGAGCATTTCGATCGACTTCCACGCTTCAAGATCACTTGCACTTTGAATTTGGGTGCAGATTCTTGAATTCTCCTCTTTCGCGTTCTCTGGTGTTCTCGTAGTCGTAAACTGATGCAGCGCCACAGATTTGTCGCCATCTCCAGGAAGAATGTGCGTTTGAATAACAGCACGATTTGCAGGGTCGTTTACGCCCTTTCTCTCATCTTCTAATCTGACAGTTTCGGGATCATGCGGAGTGTTTTTGAACCGTCCCACTGAGTCCGCAGGTTCAACGAACATACCATTGGCTCCTGGCCACTCCAGATGGCTTTGTTGAAGCTCGCGATTACTGTTACACGGCTGCAGTGATGCAATCTCTGGAGTTTCTGAAATTGCTAACGTATGAGTAGACGGTATTTCTTGAGGAAAATTTGGCTTCGAGGCCATTTCCGAGTCGTCTTTTTGCGATTCAGTGTCGTGTCGAAAAGGGATAGTATCTCCACGAAAACTTGGAATTTGGTCGTTTGGGGTCCGATTTGCTTCCCTGAGCTCCGCACTCTCATCTGATGGTATTGTGGCCAGCGCGGTACCGATTTCAGCTGAATGGATGTCGCGATTTTTCGTCACAGTGGTTTCTTCACCCTCAGCAGCAGAGCTTGAGAGATTGGATGTAACTTCCGAAAAAGGCATTCCACTATGAATGGCTTGAGAACCACCGCCATCATCTAATAGTTCTGGTCGATGTGACTTGTGATGATCGGAAGTGTTTGCAGTAGGTGGCATTTGCGACATCCTTAAGTCGGATGAGGATTTCGTAGACTTGGCCTTCGATTTGTCTGATCCCCAAGAGAATGATTTGCGTACAATTGCCCATGAATTCGTCCGTGGTTTGGCCGGTGGTTTGGAGAAGCTGTAAGATTGATCAAAGACTTTCTTAGTTGCACCTTCAAATGGGGAAGGATATCCTGGGAGTATCTCATGTTTTCCAAACATGACCTCACACGGCAAATCTGCTTGGATAACAAATCGCGCTCTGCAACCATATAATTTTTTCTTGGGAAAGGGCTCTCTTCGCTTCCATCGTAGCTCAACCGTATTGTCCACTATGTTTCCCTTCTCGTCGAATGCGACAACCCCCATCTTCCTCGCGAGGGTCAATGACAACAGGTTTCGCTCATTCGATGGTATGTGCACCGCGCAATCAACTGAGTGCCATATCGGCGGATCATGCGAGTCTCCGAAAGATGCTATATCGATATCTAGAATCTGTCCAGGCTTGTACGCGTCAGTCCACGTATCCATACTAGATCGTTCGTTATGCCAGCTTACAATATTCTTGTCCTTTCGGCTTCCACGACGCCGTAGGCGACTAAAGATGCCTCTTGCCATAGCTTCAACACTGGCGGAATGACCTGCAAGGCTTTGAAAGAACGTTGAACGTCCTCATGGGCGTATATGTTGGAGAATCGATGGGGGTGCCTTACGGAAAGCCTTACCGTGTGTCAAGTTTCTTCCTGCGGCTGAGTTGCGCTAGTCTCACAACCCTGGAACAGTGGCTGAAATTAGAGCATCGTATTCGGCATGCGTTGGATTCTGGTATTATGCACGGTGCCTAAAAACACGTCAGAACATCAACCCGAAGCTTGCGCCAGTTGAACAGTTGAACAGTTGAATAGAATCGACTGACAGAGCTCGATTCATACTTCGGGCGATCAACATTGTTGACATAGGAACCTATAACTTTCATCTGCGTTGAAGTTGAGGTGGATTTGTCAAGACCCCTGTGAGGAAACCCTGCAAATAGCACCGAGGTTCAGAGCGCCTGAAATTGTGCCTTGGTTGGCCCGCCCGCACTTGTTTCAAAGGAATTTTCTTAGCCCTCACAACCCGGTGACAGGAGCCAATAGGACAGTGAAAACGACATGTGCTGCATCAATTCTAAGAAGAAGGTATGATGCAGCCTTAGGGTTGCCACTTTACTGGAAAAGAAAAGTATATTATTATTACCTTAGTAATTTCGTGAGAAGAGCATTTTACACCTTACATTACAGTCATGTGACGCACTAGCCTAATCGGGCAAGCGGTAAGCAAGCAGCAGTAAAAAATCTCTCTTCTGAATGCTCTATCTCTTCTAATTATTAACCATTAATACTACAACTATTGACAAAATGGGAGGCAATAGCGTTTAGTATGCTCTTCAACTTTAATAAGGAGCCCTCAAAGCCTGGACAATCCACGCAATTTGCTTATCGCCGCTATTACAAAGACAGTAAAGACCCTTTACCACTTGTTTATAGTCATGTAATGCACTAGCCTTATTAGGTAAGAGAGCTAAGGCAAGCTAAGCCCGAAAAGTACTAGAAACCTCCTAATACACTATAGTCTCTTACTTTGCTCTTGACCCTTAAATTAGCTAAGATAAGCTCGGCAAGCACTGAATTTAGGCCTCTAAAAGCCTTGAAAGAAGGACCCAAAAGCCCGAAAATCTCCCCTAAAAAAACGCACGTGCTGTAACGATAAAAGCTTATTACGGTACGTGATGGTGGAAGTGTTTTACGTTATTACGGGTAATAATACAACCCAGCAACCCTGGATGTAGCCCGGGAAGTTATTGTAATCGATATTGGCGCATGCACACCGGGTTTTCAACGATTGGCGGAGGGATGACTTTGCACAGGCATCGCCAGCAATGACGGCGATGAATGGAATCATCTGACTATCACGGAAGTTTTGCCCGACTAACTGGCAAGACGTCGAGTTAGTTTACGATAGAGTTTCTATCCCCGTGACACACATCAGACCATAGTGATAACTTGTCTAGAAGTGGGTAAACTTTCACGACCTAAAGCTAGGTGCCGCAGTCGGTCCGATCCAAAAGCAATAAACTGGTTGCCCTTTTACACTCATAATAACTTTTTAACTACAACGCTAATTAATTAATACTAAGTACTGCAATTATAGAGTAGAACCAGGCGAAAAAATATCTATTAATCAGATTTTTGATATAATTCATAATTAATTAGTATTTGAAGTTTAAAGTATATAAATTATTATTACTTTTTAAAGTTATATAAACTTGTATTTCAAGAAAAGATTATAATATTTTATTTGCCTTATTATTAATATAATAATAATAATTAAGTCTTATAAGCTTAAATAAATTCTTTCAAATATTAAATATAGCTTTTTCTAATATTATATATTATATATATATAATAAAATTCTAATTATATGAAATTTGAGCTAACTTTTAACTAAATTAAATTTATAACCCTTATTTATTATATTATTACTTTTTATATATTAAATAACTTATTTAATATTTAATTTCTTTTAATATATATTTATTTAATAAAGTATATAATTATAAAACCTTTATATATTCTTAATTAAATAAGCTTTAAATGCCTTTATTACTTTAATTTTAATATTTAAAAAGCTAGTTTTTGTCACGATAAGGTGATATTGCAGTGGTGGTAAAGAGCTTGAATTGAGCTGAAGGCTGTGTGCCGGGCTAAAAGTACTGGCTACACGCTAAGTCACGTGCAGTGGTGCCACGTGACTGGTGCCACGTAACAAGTCCCCCCCTTCAGACTCAAAAGACGACGTCCTCGTCGCAATACAGCCATTCTAGGCTACCCAATAAGAAGTCCACTAGTCTGGAGCGTCCTTCTCCCCCAAGAGCTTACATCTCACTCCCAAGGGCCCTGCAAGCAGGCCATGGTGACGTGTATCCCAGAATATGCCCCCTACTTGTGTATTGCCTCCCTCTCTACCACACTTCTTGTTCGCGCCATATCCAGTCTTAATAACCTCCCAATTGCAACCACCATGTGTGCCATGTGCCCTAATATGGAGGGACACTAGCCAAGTAAAGACTTGGGGAGGTGAGGAGTCGGACGGCTCTGCCGGCGGGGGTGTGAAGCGTGGCAGGAAGCTCTTTCTGCAGGGGCGAGGGGAACATCGCTTTATTACTGTGGTAATCCGTATCGTGAGGTCGATCTCAATCGTAATTATTGCATTGCTACCATATGTCACGATAAAATGATATTGCAGTGGTGATAAAGAGCTTGAATTGAGCTGAAGGCTGTGTGCCGGGCTAAAAGCACTGGCTACACGCTAAGTCACGTGCAGTGGCACCACGTGACTGGTGCCACGTAACAGTTTTCTTATTTAATAATATTAAGTTTTATTATATCTTTAATATAAATTAATTAAATTAATTTTATAATAAAACTTTAATAAAAAAATTGCTTTATATTTTTATTTTATATTTTATTACTTATATTCTATTACCTATATTTTATTACTTTTAAGTCTTATAACTAAATATATAATTCACGAAATAATAGCTATATTAATAATATTAAAAGTTATTATTATTTATAATAACCTTAATTATAAACCTGAATTATTTAAAATAATAATATTAATATTTAAAAAATTTCTAGAATTTAAAATATTATTAAATATTAGTATTTCTTTAGGCTATTATTAGAATTAATTTATTATAAAATAAAGCTAATAATTACGAATTTTAATATATTAATTTTAATATAAATTTCTTTAAAATAAATTAAAATAAACTAGAATAAGTATTATAAAAAAGGCTTTTAATTACTTTATTTATTTATATAAATAAACTAGACTTTCAATTTTTTATTCATTTATTAAGTTTATAATTATTTAAAAATAATAATAAATAAACTTATAATAAAAGTTAATAAATTTAAGAAATATATAAATATTATAAAATAATTTTAATTATAAATATTCTAAAATATTCTAAACTTATTTAGAATTTGCTTAAATACCTTTTATTTTAATAAAAAAGCTCAAGAATTTAATTTTCTTAATATAAAACTTATATTTACTATAATGCATATATTAATAATAAATGTTTAAAGGAATTTGATAGCTTAATTAGGCTAGTACTTATATGGGATCGCATTTCCTAATTGGGACTAGTGCTTCCGTACATCTAGCGAAACGCTAGATAATATATATGAAGGCATGCGAAGCTTTGGAAATGGGCATTAATTAGTTTATTACTTGGAACCAGTACTTAGAATCAATTATACTTCCACGCTTCACTCCATCCCTTAGATTCCACCCCCCCTTACCCTAACTACTTTCGTAGCACCCTGCTATTGTGCGCCTCACATGCTAATCGATCCAATCTGTGGGGAGCAGTTTGCTACAAAGCAATTAAGGGCCCGCTAGAAGCACGAAAGACACCCGAAACACCATGATTTCCATTAATTATAACTTCAGAAAACACACCAGAGAGCTCAACGAAGCGTACGGAGCTACCGGAACAGCCAATATTATAGCCAGAGAGCTCAATAGAGCATCCGGAATAGCCCGCAAGAGGGTATAGACGTCGCTGCAAAGGCGATTTGCAAGAGCTAAGATCCCCACTCCTACGAATACGGGAGCTACCAGTGTATTATGGCAAAGACATACAAGAAGCGCAGAACTTTATTTCAGGGGCAAAGCGTCGATTTCGCCTCGATTACAAGTACTATTATTCAGATAATACGTCCAAAATCGATTACTGTATTCTAGCATTTGAGTCAAAGCCGTATTGCTAGTAAAGCATTTTTGAGAAGAATACCGGAGATCCAGGATATATTATATGGGAGTAGTTCAAAACCCACCTTTTTGATTCGATTTGCGATATTAGTAATCGGCAAATAAGCACCATAAAATCGTACAAGAATACCTACTAATAAGAAGGCTAAATGACAAATAATTTTGCGGCTAAATTACAGGTATATAAGCGAGAATTGGGCTATACCAATAATTAAAGGCTAGCAGATTCATTATTTTCAGGGCTATAATAAGAGCTATAGATAGAGATATTAAGAAGGGGCTATCTGCTACATATATAAAAAGGGATACTCCAGCTAGTATATTTGATTAAGACTGCGAATTAATTATTTGGGCCCTTTAGAAAGAGACAAATCAAGGCGGAAAGCCTTAAATAAGTGAGAGCCTATTAATATTATAGTGGGAACTATATTAGTAGCAGATGTTTACAAGCTATTTGTTTCAAGTATTAAGAGAAAGGATACTATGCCTCTAAATACTAGAAGTAGTTAATAATATATAATTAAAAAAGCTTTATATAAGCTATTATAAATATTATAGTATTATTAGATATAACTTGAAATTATATTAATAGCTAGTATTTTAATAGCCTGGAACCTATATATTATATATATAATTTAAAGCTAGTAATTTGGCATTTATAAATATCTAATAAATTAAGGAAAGCTAGCCAAATATCTAATAGCTTTTTAGTTATAAGGGAAATACTAAATATATCAGTATTCTTATTTATAAAATATAGCCTTAGCTAAAGATAATACTAATAGGGCTTATTATTTAATTAAATATCTAATAAATAGTTCATTAATTTAAAGGCTATATATTATAAGAGAAATACTATTAGACTAAATACCTAAAAGTAATAATTTAAGAGCTATTAAATATATTTTAAAAAATAAAGTAATAGCTAATTATTAGAAATAATATTTTAAAGAAAAAGGTAATAACTATATATTATAAATATAAAAGTAATATAAAAGTAATATAAAAGTAATACAAAAGTAATATAAATATATAAAATATAAAAAACATTTTAGAATTAAATATAAAAACCTATTATATAAATAAATATAAAGTAAATTAATAAAGTAATTTGCAAACAAAATATAAAGCTAGATTTCATTTATAAAAATAATTTCTTGAGTTTTAAAAACTCAAATAAATATATTATAATATAAATAAATATATAAAGCTTAAAAAGATATAAAGCTAATAATATAAAGAATATATAAAAAGCTTATAAAAGTATAAAGCTTAAGCTTTTAGAAATAAAAGCCTAAAAAAAAAGTAATATAATATATATATTAATAGTAAATATTTAAATAAATTTAATAGCCTAATTAGTCTAGTATTTATATAAAATCGCATTTTCTAGTTAGAATTAGTACTTTTTTATATTTAATAAAATACTAAATAATATATATAAAGATATATAAAGATATATAAAGATATATAAAGATATATAAAGATATATAAAGATATATAAAGATATATAAAGATATATAAAGATATATAAAGATATATAAAGCTTTAAAAATAAATATTAATTAGTTTATTATTTAAAACTAATTTTTGAAATTTAATTATACTTTTATATTTTATTTTATATCTTAAATTTCACTTTTTTTTACTTTAATTACTTATATAATATCTTGCTATTATATGCTTTATATTTACTAAGATTTTTAAAGTAAGTTATTTTTATATAATCTAATAAATATTTAATAAATATAATTATAATATTTTTTTAAAGAAATAAATAAAAATCTTATTTAAATTTATAATTATAAAATAATTTAGAAACTATTATAAGTTATTTAGACTAATAAATATATATATAAAGAAATAGCTTTATTATATAAGTAAATAAACTAAAAGATATAATAACAAAATTAGAAATCTTATTAGCTATTCTATTATATAAAAGTATAATATATATTATATAACTAGCTATATATATAATATATAATTATAATAGAAATCTTATAAATATAAAATTAATATATATTTGAAATATAACTAATATATTAATTAATTTGAAAGGTATTTTAAAATATTTATAATAAGTTTTAAAGTTAATTTTTTATTTATATTATTTACGAATTTTTATTTAATAATATATATTTTTAAAATTTAATTTTATAAATATCTTGGATTTATAAAGTTAATTAAAGATTTTATTTCTTAAAAGAAATTAAAAAATACATATTTTTATAAAGCTTTTATTAAGCTTTATTTAATATTTATATAAGCTTTTTTATAAATACAAATATAATATTTTTAATTTAACTTTTAATAAATTATATAAAAGTTTAAATTAAATTAAATTATTTATATTAATAAAATATTTTTTATTATTATTTTAGAAATATATAAATATTTTTAAGGCTATTTTCTAATGAATATTAATTTATTATATTAAAAACTTTTATTTAATATTACTGGAATTATAAAATAAAATAAAAATCTAATAATTATTATAAATATATAAAGTTTATTATTTAAAATAATTATATTTGCTTTTAATTAAAAATAAAACTTGAGGTATTAGTTTTAAATATAATTTAAGCTTTTTATTAAAGTTTCTTAATATAAGAATTTTAATATTATTAAACTATATAAATATAAATATTTATTATTTTCTAATACAATTTATATTTTTTATAATAATTACTTTATAAAACTTTAAATTAAAAATAAAATTATAAGAACTAATATTTTTATATTTATAAAACCAAAGTTTTAAAAAGAATTATTATAATTATTTATAATAATATTTCAAAATTATATATTTAATAAATTCTTAATTTATTTTCATAAAAAATTATATATTCTTAATTATATTTAATTAAAATAATAAAGTTCTAGATTTAAATTTAAATATAATTAATAAAATTATAATTTAATATATTATTATTAAATTTAATATATATTTTTAAGGTATTTATTTCTAGCTATATTAATCTTATTAAATAAATATTTAAAGTAATATATCTTTTTTATTATAGCTAAAATTATTAATATTTAAAATTTGGCTTTTTTCTTTTTCTTTTTTAAAAATAGTTTTTTTAAAGCGCTTTTTTATAATAATAATATTAATTTACTTTTATAAATATCTTAATTCTTTTATAATTTTAGCTTTATTAAAATTTTATTAAATTTATTTCTTATATTTAAAATACTTTATATTTATTAAGAAATATTTTTTCTAATTATAAATTTAATAAATTATATTTAAATTAAAACTAGTATTATAATAGAATTTAAAAAAGCTAAAGAATTATTTAAGGAGTTTTTATATATATTTCTTTTAAAAAACTTATTTTTTTAATAGTTTTATAATTTAAATTAAATTAAATTTTTTTAGAAATAAAGTTACTTTTATTAAACTTTCTTATTTTTTTTTAATTTAAAATAAATAATATATAATAGTAAGAATTACTAATTT